TGGTGACGTTGGGCATTATGCTAAAGAGTGCACTAATTCGAAAAAGAATCAAGTTAATGTAGCCTCGTGTAGTAATAATCTTGGTGATGTGTTTGTGGTGACTGAAATGTGTGAAATGTATGCTGATGTGAATTCTATGCATTCTTATTTGTGTGAAAATGAATGGCTAGTTGATTCCGGTTGCACTTTTCACATGTCTCCATTTAGAAATTTAATTTCTAACTACAAAGAGGTTAAAAATGGCTCTGTTTTTATGGCAAATGAGAAACTTTGTGATGTTGTTGGTATTGGTGATGTGTGCCTTAAGTTTGATTCCGGTTATGTGCTTTGTTTGAAAAATGTTCGTCATGTTCTCGACTTGTGCCATAACTTGATATCTTGTGCTGCCCTTGAGGATGAACTCCTTCTATTGCCAATTGGTTCTAGAATGGAACCTCATTTGGGCTTGTATGTTGGACTTGTTGGAGAACTGGGTTTTGAGTTAGAGGTCCTAACAATTGGTATCAGAACCACGGTTGGTAGCCCAGTTGCGATGTGGATGACGTGGCATGTTCCCCATGGAGCCGGAAGGGCCGGTAGATCCGTGTGCCTTGTGTCGAAAGTCTTCCTGACGAAAAAGGGTGGTCAGGCGGCGGGTTCTGTGAATGATAACGGCGGTACAAGATGGTCGGATCGTATGAATTTCGTTCAAGGGGAGGCCCAATGTGGTCTTGTGTTTGAGGGGAGGTTTGTAGGGTGTGCAAACCCAATCCCACATCGGAAAATTAAAGGTTCTAAGTCCAATATATAAGCTTGGTGGGCTACTCCTTCTATTGCTAATTGGTTTTAGAATGGAACCTCATTTGGGCTTGTATGTTGGACTTGTTGGAGAACTGGGTTTTGAGTTAGAGGTCCTAACATTAGATGGCACGACACGCAAGTATTTCGCGACCGCCTCCTCGTCGGTGATGGTGACGCCGTGCACCGCCAGTTGACTTACGAGCGACTGAAGACGGAGCGGGAAATCCTCCACTGCCTCGCCGTCGCGGAATGCCAGCGCCTCATACTCCCGCCGCAGCTGCTGCGCCTTCGCCTTTTTTGCGCGATCAGACCCGATGCGCATGGCCTTGAGGACGTCCCAAGCAGCCTTTGCGGAGTCCTTTACGCCCAGCGACTCCACGTACTCATGAGGCACAGCGGATAGAATCGCTTCCATCGCTGCACAGTTCTCTTCTTCATCCTCGGTGCCTTCTTCGATGGCCCGCCAAAGTTTGCGTGCACGCAACTTGACCTTCATCAGCACCGCCCACTCGCCGTAGTTTGTGCGTGTGAGGACCGGCCAATTTGCCCCGCCAACGTGCCGCACAGTCCTGTGGATGATGACCTCCTGGCGCGGTGAAGCGTCTGCTCCGCTTCCTTGCACCGTCGACGCAACATCTTGGCTTGCCATGGCTCTGATGCCACTTGTTAGTCCCTGCTCGTCTCTATTTGCAGCCAGGATGCACTGTTCGGGTAAGCAAAAATGCTTCCCGGCACAAACTGACACTTTTAGGATAGAAGAAGAAGATATTGAACAACTCAATGTATTGAGTATTCAGTTTTTGTTGTGTGTTTACAAATAAAAACTGCACCCTTATTTATAAGAACTAAAAGCAACTATTCTAGTGACTTTCCTAGAAAATACATAAGTTGAAAAATCAAACTAAAATGGTTGCCATGAAAGTGCTATGCAGCTGCAATGAAAATGCAATGAAAGTGTAATGAAAATGCAAGGAAGTTGCACTTCACTAACAAGGAAACTTCAGGATTATCTCTTATAAATTTGACCCGTTAATATTGATAAATGAGCCAAAATCTAGCTTTTTTAGTGTGCTCAGTGTCAGTACCATGAGTTCGGCTTAACTCAGCTCGACTCGTTTATACCTATAAATGTAACAACTTTTCATGCTTGCAAACAGACATGCACATGGCATTTGCTAGCACTATTTTCCAGTACAAATAAAGGATACAATTAATTGTATTACATGCTTTGTTTATTCTTTTGTGGCTTTGTCTTGACGTTAGAAAGTCTATGGGTTCAAAAGGCTGAGATCTATCTAGAAGATTATCCCTCACCATCATTCTTGTGGTTACCATAATCCTCAAGTCCATTTTTTCATAGTTCTAAAGTTGTATGGTCTCTAGTAGTTTTCCCATCCATTTTATGAACCAAGGTGGTTTGCCTTTTAACTATGGCCATTTTATGTGGGATATGTGGTGCGACATGAAACGAATTGTTCCTTTCAACTTTTTGCATATTCCATTTAGTTTCCCTTTTAAAGAGATGGTGTCTTTTTGAGCAACTAATATTTGGAATTTGAAAGGATAATTTAATTTAATTCAGCCTAATGAAGTGCCTTTTTCTTTGGATAATTATTTAATTTTTTTATGTTTTTGTTTGGATAATAATTTAGT